CGCCCCCGGCCGCGGGAGCCGGGCCTCCGCGGAGACTGGGGTGCTGGGAAGAACAGACGCTTCCTTCGTTCCCGCCTCTCAGCCCCGCGTCTCCCCCGCGCCTCCCCGGCCACGCCCGCGGGAACGTCCCGCGAGAGACGCCGACCCCGGGCGCCCACTGATCTTGGGCACAGCGCCACCGTCGGCAGAACGGCCTGAGAAGTTGGGCTGCGTGTCCACAGATCTCGCTGCCAGATGGGGGGTGGCGGGAGGCAGGTCTCCCCCTAATCCCTCCACCCTTCTCACCCATCTGCTCTCCGGTTGGTCTCTTCTGAAAGCGGAGGCGGGACCTCGACCTCGGTAGCCAATGTGGAGGCTGGGGGGGGGTTGGTATTGGTTACCATGGCAGCAGGCAGCTGCAGCTCGCGTTTCCCTTCAGGGGCGGAGTCTGCTGGTCGCTAGGCCTCGCCACACTGTGGTCACACGTACCCCGTTTCTACCTTAATGATGGTCTGGGGGTGAGAGGTTGGGGAACTTAAACCCTCGGAGCCCAGAGTGAGCTGTGCTTCAGCGTGCCCCCCAGGCGAAGGCTGCCTCCAGTAAGGGAGGGCTGCTGTGGGCAGAGTTGTATTAGAGGGGACGAAGAAACCCAGTTACTGCAACAGAGTGGACAAAGCCCTGCAGGGGCAGGGCCTGGGGATGGGCAGACTTAGGTAAGACCAGCCGAGTAGTTGCTTAGCAAGCAGAATTGAGCTTGAAAGCCAAGACCCAGGGCAGGGTGGGGGTCAGAAACAAGCAGCTGTGACTGAATTGTGGGTCTCACAGTGTCCTAAAGTCCTGGGCAGGAAGAGACAACCAAGGGTCACCAAGGACATTCCCTTGCCTCAAGGCAGCTTGCAGTCTGTCTTAGGTAGAGTCATGTCCGGTCTTGGGCATTCATTAACTTGAAACTCTTCCCAGGAAAGAGGAAGGTGACCAGGTTCATCATCCCCATTTCACAGGCGAGGAAACTGATGCTTGTCTGGTAAAATATCTCACCCTGGGTCCTGGGGCCTGGCACTGGGCCTTAGCAGGTTTCTCCAGGCATTTAATTCCTTTGTGTGGTGGCCTGTCCCAGGAGGCCCCTTGCCACAGTTCCAACACTGTCCACTTGCTGATGGTGCAAAGATGCCCAGGTCAGCTGAAGCCCTGTGAGCTGGTGCAGAGATGGCCCTGGGTTGGGTGCGTCAAGACTCTCTCCTCTATCACTCTGGGAGACAGTCCAGTGTCATTCCACATTCCCAGTTTCAGGAAGGCTACAGTGTAGTGGGGGAGACAGGCCTACATGACCACGTGGTGTGAGAAATGCTGCAGGGTGATGTGGACAAAGCACGTAGAAGCGCAAGAGAAGGGGTGCCAAGTCTACCCAGGGAAGACCTCACAGAGGAGGCAGCCTTTCAAATGAAGGGAGACACATAAGCATTTGCTAAGTCCCAAGCAAGGAGAGAGCAGTCTTGGCAGAGGGAACAGCATCTGCAAAGGCCCTGAGGCTGACTCAGCAGGGTGCTTGGAAACAATAGGTCTGGGAGTCTGGATTCAGCCTTTGGGCAAGACCCAGGCTTTGAAATGAATGCCCAGGGCAAGGCTGCATGCCCACAGGTGGGTGCTTTCAGCTCCCTCTGAACAGCAACCACCCAAATATGCTTTTCCCTAACTAGTTCGTTCATGAACTCCCAAGCCCCACTTCTGAGAACCCTATTAGATTTTTTTTTTTTTTTTGGAGAGGTTTTCGCTATAGGGCGCGTGCGCTCACCAGGCAGACAGAGACAGAGAGACAGAAAGCAAGAAATCACCCCCCAGGGGGGATGGACACACCGCAATCCCTTCTCTGTTGTCCTCTCGGTATCTTGGGCACGCACGCACACGCACCCGGTGTGAGTTTAAGTCGCAGGGTCCAGGACGTGCACCGCGCTTGACTACGTGGGAGTCCAGCGACATAGCCATTACACTAACTGCTGGTCCCAGCAGTGGTTATCTTCTAAATCTAGTAGTGCCACGGGACCAGCAGTTAGCGTAATGGCTATGTCACTGGACTCCCACGT